GGAGGTGGGAGTGGAAGTGGTTGTGTTTGCAGGATGGTGGTGGAGTCTGCTCTTGCACAATACTGGCCTGAAAACTGGGAATAAGATCCTGTCCGAGCGGGGCCTGGCTCTGAAGTATTGTGGGCCTGTGGCAGGAATCTGATCTTCACCCCAGGCATCAGCAAGGCCTTTGGGAGACTTAGCAATTACAAAGTCGCCCTTTCAGCTGTGGTTGGTGGTCAATATCAATATTTTAAATGTGTTTTTAGTATTTTAAAATGAAGTTTAGAAAAGATATTTTTTTCCATCTCCCTCCACTGTAGCCAGGTTCTTTTTAAATTAACGAAAAGTATTCACTAAATGAGTGTTTTGTAGAGAATTATATTGAGACTTCTGCCTTCCATCTCTCCCTTTATAAAATAGCCTTATCTACTGGGAGAGAAGTTATCTCAAATAATGTGATAGGAAGAATTTGCATTCATTTCCTATGTGGTGTGTGGAGTTAAGTAACTTTTTGTTTTAACTTCATGTTGAAGGAGTATCCACAAAGCAACATATACCGAGTGCCTCCTAATTACTCACCCATCTCCTCCCAGATGATGCACCACCCACAGTCTGCCTTGTGGGGCTACAACCTCATGGGGCAGCCCCAGCAGCCTGGCTTTTTCCTGCAGAGCCCCTCTCTTACTCCAGGTACGTGAAGAGAGCAGAGTCGGATCCTCGAGATGACAAGTGGCTTAGAGTTCTCACTTGGGGTTTTCCTTTCTTTTAACCTGAAACCTCTTTAAAACTTGGAAGTTTCAAGAGCTGAGTGCTCAGCTGACATTTATAGATTTCTCTCCATTCAACGTATTACTTCTTCTAAAATAAGGTTTCAGCTATGAGTTTGTGGACTGATTTTGGAGTTTTCATCCAGTGCTGGGAGGAAATTAGCCACTGATGAAAATCTTAAGCTATCTCTAATAATAAAAGCGTACTATACTAATTAGACCGGATGTCCTTCCGGATGACCTTCTTTCTGGATGAAGCCCAGGTCCCGGGTGCCATAGGGAAGCTGGTGCCGGCAGCCGGGGGAAGGAAGGTCTACTCTGGCACGAATTTTGTGCATCAGGCCTCTAGTAAAATATAACGTTGATCAAAGTTTTATATTGTGAAATTTGTGTACATTTTTACCAGATATAGTTACCAGCATTTAAAAAGACTAGACAGTATTGCACAGTGTCTTTTATTATTTTCTTATGTTTTGAACTTTAAATTGTGTATACCAAGGATTTCAGAAACCTGGTTCAGCAAGTAGATTTAGATACGATCAACAAGGAAAACTGCCATATCCAGAGTGGATTTTGCTGATTTGGGTATTGCTCTGATTCAAGCTCAGGTAGATTTTATATATGGAGTGAAGATTTTCCAAATACAAAATTTCTTTTTTTTTTTTTTTTTTTTTTAAATAGTTAGAAACATCGATGAGAGAGAAACATCGATCAGCTGCCTCCTGCACACTCCCCACTGGGGAAGTGCGCGCAACCCAGGTACATGCCCCTGACCGGAATCGAACCTGGGACCCCTCAGTCCCCAGGCCGACGCTCTATCCACTGAGCCAAACCGGTTCCGGCCAAAATTTCTTAATTAGGAAAGGATTTAATTTTCATTCTAAAGGAAAGTTTGCCTATTTTAGCAAAATAGATTATTTCTGAGATCTCAGTCTGCATTTTGTTAGGATGTGTCTTTCTAATATATCATATTTTACTGTGCTCTGCAGGATAGTGAATTTTTTTATTGTAAGTTGAGTATAACATTTTTGAGGTTTAGGGAAAAAGAAGATACCTGATTCTTGGCTTAGAGCAGTGGAGAATCCAGTTTGTCCCATAAATTAGTGGCATAGAGAGCTGTTCTGGGTGTTACAGTTCTAAGTTACAGTCTCACTCTATCACTTTCTGCTATATAATCTTGGCCAAGTCCTAATTACTTTGTTCCTGATCATTTTACAGCTTGATCATTTGTAAAATGGATATGCTGATATATACCTTCATAGGATGGGTGATTGAAAGTAAATGTTTAAAGGTAGCACTCAGAAGGTAACCTGACACAGCAGACATGTTAAGTAAATGATCTGAATACATTCTCACGGCAGGGCTGTTGCACCTGCTGGGCCCCGTGCTGGGAACGCTCTCCCTCAAACATCTGCATGGCTCAATGCCTCCTTTGGGTTTGGTCAGACCCCACTTTCTCAGTGAGCTTGCACTGACCACCCTACACTCTGTCCCCCTCCTTCTCTTTCTGTTTCTCCATGGCAACAGCGCTTGCTTAAGTGCTACATGTTCACTTACCTGCCTGCCCCAGAAGGTCAGCTCTATGAGGGCAGGGGTTTTTCTGTTGTTTACTATAGCGTCCCCAGAATTTACACCAGCATGTAAGCAGGCTCTCAAAGGAGGTTGTTGAGTGAGTAAATGCAGACTACAAAGAACAAGCTAGACTTGGTGGTAAATGTGGAAAATAATACACAATTGCCATCTCCTCTGATTTTCTCTTTAATTCCAAGGTCCTTGTGAACTTTGTAGCATTTTTAACTTTGTCAACAACAGAGTCCAGCACAAGGACTGCATGAATAGAAGGCTCAGTATACTGTAAAGCCGCACACCCTTTCACCCTAGAGTGTTATAGAAGGTATTTGTAAGTTGGGGAATTTGGGTATTAGGTAAGTCTTAGGTATGATGATATGATGACATGTAAGAAAAATATGTAAACAACTACTTATGAGCGTTATATATCTGTGAAATAATATAATTTCATAAAAATGTGAATCCTATGAAATTGAGGAAGAGTGTGTACAACATGTTTCCATTTATATACTGTATAGTTAAAACACAAAACAGTGTCCACCCACACACATACACCTCTACCAATCTCTCTCTTTTTCCCCTGTATACACGCCAGTATGGTAAATTTATAAGGAAATGTGTATAAATAATAAACATCAAATTTAGAATAACATTCAATAGGAGAAGGGGAGGAAAGTAACAAGGCTTCAAACATATTTATTATATTAATTTTTTTTAGTTGATTCAGAGGTATAACATAGAAAAGTTAGGAAAAAATAAAAGAAAGTAGACCGTAGTCTAATCTTTAAAAAGTATGTCCCTTATCCATAAAATGAGTCAATTACATTTTATATATTAGTTCGCATTCTTGCTTCACAAAGTTACCTTGCCATATGTTACTCAAATCAACTATCCATTTTTCCCCCAAATGATCTTCAAATGCTGCTGAATTACTTATTAAATCATATCTCTGATTGTGATACTGAGTGTATAAAAGAGTGTGGGTTTTTCAAGAGAACAGCTTTCAAATTTTTGCCTCTATCATATTACTTGCTCTTTGTGAGGTCTTTATATAGACATTTTCTTATTCATGTACATTAAAGAATATATGTAGACTGTGTGGCGAATGAAGGGTTAGCACCTACTTTGAAGTCAGCAAATGTTGAATTTTTTTTCCCTTGAACTCTTAAAGACATTTGGCAAATTACATATGCAAAATGTTAAGGATTTTCTTTGGTTTCTTCAGCATCACTATAATCAATATTTCCTGTTTGTTTTATCTCTAGTCTTCAAAAAGATGTGTTTTATCTTTAGAATCAAGGTATTTGAAGTTTCCAAGCATTTCCAGTTTTTTAAGTATTTTTAAGCATCTCTACTATAAGATAGGCATTTCCCTTAAGTACTATGAGCTTCCAATTGTCTAAATTACAAAAGGGTTTCTAGGCCTGCCTTAGGACACTTGGCAAATGTAATACATTTTATGCAAGAAATATGTTCCTGGGAGCCTTCCATTATTTAATACCCATGTGATTCCCAAAGTACACCGACCACTGTTTCAGGCATGTCACTTTAGCAGTTCAGGTGGACCTTCGTGAGGCCGTTCAAATGTTATAATTGCTCCTGCACCACCCTCCCTATCCTGTGAAAATTCTGCAGTTCTTGTATAGGGTGGGATGGTGCCTTCTGTTCCATTTTGCTTCATAAAGTGAGGCTCAGAAGGTGAGGTTTCTACATTTTAATCAAATCAATAGGAATTGCTGCATCAATGTATAGAAAGCCCTTCCTTCTGGTTGCTTTGTAGGTGGCTCTAGACTGGACCCCACAGGCTCCTTTGTCCCTACCAACACCAAGCAAGCCCTGTCGAACATGCTGCAGCGGCGCTCGGGCGCCCTCATGCAGCCGCCCTCGTTGCACGCCATCACGTCACAGCAGCAGCAGCAGCTGGTCCAGATGAAGCTCCTGCAGCAGCAGCAGCGGCTCCTCCGGCAGGCCCAGGCCCGGCCATGCCAGCAGGTGTGTCCAGGCCAGCAGAGATCCTCTGCGCCTCGTGGTTTTCTCTAGCTAGGGTGAGCAAGGTCTGTGTGACATGTGCTTCCTGCGTGCTCACCCTGTGCGCTTGGTGAATGCAGGTATCTCCTTCTTACACAGGCTTAGAAATACTGTTCTCTTTGATCAGATAAGAACTCAAAATGTCTTTGGTTCATTTAAAGCAGGGGTGGGGAATGTCCGGCCTATGGGCTGTATAAGGCCAGAAAAATCATTTGGTCTGGCCCTGCAAAGGCATTAGGGAGGAGTTAATAAAATGTTTGCCCAAATATAGCAGGCTAATTTTTAAGTTGATACTCTTGTATGGCCCCCGAGTGATGTCATAAATATCCAAATGGCCCTTGGCAAAAAAAAAGGTTCTCCACCCCGGACTTAAAGGATGCCTTAAAACACAAAGAAGAACTGATGGCTTTCTAGTCCCTTAGATGCAGCAGGACTGTCATCCTGGAAGTGGCCTTCTCTGAGCTCTCATTCAGTATTTAATTATCACCACATTCTTTACTTTCAGGTATTTAGCTCTACTTTCATGTATTATTATTTCATTTACTACTTTGAGGTTGAGTCTCTGAAGCCTATGTTTCTTAGGTTTTTCTCCTACAATGCCCTGAGCAAACCCTATGTTTTTTAAAAATATATATTCTTATTGATTTCAGAGAGGAAAGGAGAGAGAGAGATAGAAACATCAATAAGGAGTGAGAATCGTTGATTGGCTGCCTCCTGGAGCCCCCTACTGGGCATGGAGCCCAAAACCCAGGCATGTGCCCTGACCGGAAATCGAACCATGATCTTCTGGTTCATAGGTTGACATTCAACCACTGAGCCACACCGGCCGGGCCAGATTCTGTTTTTATTGCATACTTAATGAGGAGTATAGCAGAGAAAGAATGCATTGCAAATAACTGTCAGTATATGCTTATCTTTAAAGTAATTCTTGATTTATATTATTTCTATTTTTTTGCTCATAACCCATTATCTTTAACTTTTTAGATGACCATGATTATTAGAATGCAGAAGTAACACAGAATTTAGTATAGACTCATAAAACCACGAATCAATACAAATACATAAAATAAAAAGAGGGAAGGGAGATTGTGACTTCTTTTTCTATATACTTTTTGTGTTCAGTTTTTCTTGAAATTGTACTATTTTGATGATGGTGATGATAGTAATAATACTAGTTAGAAGCAGCTAACACTGATGGAGCACTAATTACCTGGCAATACACTTCCAAGCACTTATAAATGTATTAGTTATCTTAGATCTCACGGCAGTCCTATGAGTTGGGCATTGTTGTGATCCTCAAAGGACGTAGCCAATCGTCAGATGCATCCTGCTCTAAGAAAAATCACAAAACTTTCAAAGCGAGAAATTCTAATGTTTTAAAAAATATTTTTGTATTTTCGTAACTTTCTACACATATCTCCATACTGTATTCCACCCACTTCTGCATGGGGTATTGGGGTTGGGAGGGTTATGCATTCTTAAAAAAGCTTTCTTTTCTTACCTGTATTATAAAGACAGGAAAGAGGAAACTAGTTGAACTGCATGAGAATGCAAACAACAGTCACTACAGGCTTGTCTGTGCCCGACCTCTAGTGATTTAAATTCCCTGGGTGTCAGGCAAGATGGGCTTAAGCTGCTTCATACACAGATATTATGAAGATTTGATTAAAATATTAAAAAGCTTTGATTTTGCTTAAATAAGCAACATTTTTGGAACCATTAAAAATCTCAGTGGTATATTAGCTTTGTTGGAGATGATTGTTTCATTTCTTACCAAGATAAATTAAAATTTTACTGTGAGTAACCAGCCCACTAAGATGAATTTAGCTCCCTTTTAAAGTAATGTAAGCCTAAGTAAAATTTGCCTTCCAATAAGTTTATTTAGTTTTTCATGTCTACCTTTTTATCACAAGTTATAACACTTTCAAATGATTACTGCTAAATTCAGTTTTGAATTTATCTAAGTGGTCCCTAGTATTGCGAAAGTAGTAAAACTCACTGGGCAATTTCTAGGTAAACATGCCTTTCCTCATGTAAGCCATGGCAAGCAATTTCCCCTAAAGTAATTTTTTAAAAGGAATTTAAAAGAATAAAAGAATAATGTGAGTGTAATGAAAGATATCCTTGCATTTTTGGAGAAGGCAGGCTTAAGACCTAGCATGTACCCAGAGGACCCCATTACTCCCACACTTTCCTCTAACCACTAAAACTACCTGACTCAATTCCATCACACTACCTAGAGTTACACTGCTTGTACTAATAGGAATTAACTGAGAGTTCATTTTTTTCTAACTTACTTTATTGTACCAACTATGTCACACTGTTGAATTTTTATTTTTATTTTTTCTTCTTTCTTTTCTTTTGAAAAATCAAAAATCTCTTCTTTAAGTAGTAAAAGCTCAACCTCATAATACTGATTGTATAATACTCCCTTCCCTCCTCCCCTGTATTCTTTTTTAACAGTTGAAACTTGCTTTAGAGTCTGTGAAGGGCTTTCGGAAACATATACACTTTTTTTCTCAATCCCCATTCTTAAAGTGCCGGATAACTGAGCAAAACAGCATTCTTATAAGGAAGAGAATTGCACACATGGTACAGTCATCAGACATAGTGGTCCTTCGTGGAGTAAATGAGATGTGTCTGTAGCATCTGCGAGAGTGCCTGCACCTGCCAGGGTCTCTCCTAATAGGTCATGTGGTTATTGTGGCAGGAAAATTCTTGTGCTAATCCTTAAAAATCTAGAATAAAAACAGAATTAAATGGAATATATTGGATATTGATAAATTGTTTATTATATGATTCTGGATGCAATTAGAATCCAGAAATTTTTTTGGATATATTTATTTTTCTAATAAATAGTGACCTCTGTTCTTCATGAGAGGAAATGATAGAGAAATATTGAAACTAATTTTGGCAGGAACATTTTCTCAGGTTACATGCCTTCTCATAATGTGACTCTCTAGCTACATAAGAACTCTTATGGTGTGTTTTTCTTTTAGTTTGGGGCTTATAGGGAAATTAAAATTAATATAATTTTTCTTATTAACCTAGCAGTTTTCTAATTACAGAAATCCATTTTCTTAAATGTAGCAAATGTGTTGGAGAATTTCCATGTATCTTAACTTTTAAGACTGATCTTATAATTATAGATTTTTTTTTAGTGTCACCCGAGGATATATTTATTGATCTTAGAGAGAGAGGAAGGAGAAGGGGGAGAGAGAGTGAGAAACATGGATGTGAGAGAGAAACATTGATGGGTTGCCTCTTTTTAAAAAAATATATTTTATTGATTTTTTTACAGAGAGGAAGGAGAGAGATAGAGAGTTAGAAACATCGACACCGATCAGCTGCCTCCTACACACCCCTACTGGGGATATGCCCGCAACCAAGGTACATGCCCTTGACCGGAATCGAACCTGGGGTTGAGTCCGCAGACTGACGCTCTATCCACTGAGCCAAACCGGTTAGGTCGATGGGTTGCCTCTTGCACGCCTCCTGACCAGGGATTGAACCTGCAATTTTTTTGGTGCATGGGACAACATCAGCTGAGCCATATGGCTGGGCAGCAGATGCTTTTAAAGATTGACTAGTGTCTCCAAGCCTTGGATATGGCTGTTCTCTAGGCCCGTCGTCTGTGACTTCCTTGGTCCCCACCCTCTTCTTATAAGATCAGGTACTGGGGCCCTAACTGGTTTGGCTCAGTGCATAGAGCACCGGCCTATGGACTGAAGGGTTCCAGGTTCGATTCTGGTCAAGGGCATGTACCTTGGTTGTGGGCACATCCCCAGTAGGGTGTGTGCAGGAGGCAGCTGATCGATGTTTCTCTCTCACTGATGTTTCTAACTCTCTATCCTTCTCCCTTCTTCTTTGTAAAAAATCAATAAAATATATTTGAAAAAAAAAAGATCAGGTACTGGGTTTTAAAATATTTTGTATCACCCTGAGCACAGGGTAGAAATCTATGAAATGTTTATTGAGCAAATTCATGTTTTTGAGCAGCTGTTTTCCAAAGCCTAAAGCAGCAATTCTCAACCTGTGGGTTGTGACCCCTTTGGGGGTCAAATGACCCTTTCACAGGGGTTGCCTAAGACCATCCTGCATATCAGATATTTACATTATGATTTATAACAGTAGCAAAATTACAGTTATGAAGTAGCAATGAAAATAATTTTATGGTTGGGTCACAACATGAGGAACTGTATTTAAAGGGCCAGAAGGTTGAGAACCACTGGAAAGTTTCCTGGTAGTGTTACTCCTTAGCAGTCTGATTATTATCTACAAACTCATCTCATTGCTCCCCGAAACTGCTCCCAGCAGTGACCTGCTATGATTATTTTAAAAACCTAGATGGGGCAGGGAAGACATACATTCCTGGTTTCTGGATGTGTCTCAGAACTTACAGATTCCCCCTTAGCCTCCTCCCATCTGAGGAGCGAAGTTGATGTATGTAGGAATTATCTAGTCTAGACATGGTGCACAATGATGTTCAGAGCACCATCGTAAAGTAATGAATTCTGCTGCAAGCAACGAATAGCAGCTCCAGCTAGTCATGGAATTTCCTTTTAGAGACCATCCTGTATTTCTTCAGGAATGTATTGAGACATTTGGAGAGTGTCTAGAACAGGGGTGGGCAAACTTTTTGACTCGAGGGCCACAATGGGTTTAAACTGGACCGGAGGGCCGGAACAAAAGCATGGATGGAGTGTTTGTGTGAACTAATACAAATTCAAAGTAAACATCATTACATAAAAGGGTATGGTCTTTTTTTTCAATAGTTTTATTCATTTCAAATGCGCCGGATCTGGCCCGCGGGCCGTAGTTTGCCCAGGGCTGGTCTAGAAAATAGGTGCAAATAGCATGGATGTTGTTGGGTATTTTTAATCAATTTATTTGACATAATGATTGTTATATAATCAAGTGTATTTTCATATAGCTTTAGTCATATCAACATGCATAAAGACATT